CGTGTTGAGACGAGTAGCGTCGTGACTCTTTCGTATGGCGGGGCCTGGAGCACGACTTTTTTCTCATAATTTTTTGAATTGGGTCTTTATATGACCCTTAACTAATCATTAACGCTAAATCTCAGCTCGTTGACGTACGGTGAGCGAGCCACTCGTGCATGACTGACGGTCGCAAATGTGTCGAACTGACTGACTGACTGACTGGCGTTGGTGAGGGCGTTGGAGGTAGCGCTGCGCGTGTGGTGACGGTCACTTATGGCTGCCGTCCGACGATTTCGTTCGTATCGCTTGTGCGCCGTCGGTGTGTCGCCACCTGACAGCAATGTTTCGCTCAAACTGTTCGAGTTGATGTGTTCGCCGCTGCTCTGGGTGTTTGCGAGGGTGTGACGTGACCTCCAGTTGAGACGCGTGACGGTGCCCTTTCGAGATATCCACCAACAAACGGTTAGTGTCATGCCCAAGAAAATCTAGTGATGCGAACAAACTCTTTCATTTCTAGGTAGTTGTTCTGCTCTTTTTCAAATGCGCAATATTGAGTTTTAATGAGTTTCCGCATGCGAAACCCCGAAAAATGTTGATTTTGACACCGTAGTCTTACTGATACAAAAGTTACAATCGCCACATATGTCAACATGCTTTGAGGTATACATGTTGACAGAGCGCATATCCGTATTCACAACGCACAAGTTATGTTTAATCTCAAGGGGAAACGTGCCTTGAAGTATAACCCAAAACCATCAACACTCATATCAAACGTACCTTAGGGATAAGATTCACCTTGAGGTAATGCGAATGCACTGGCTGGAGGTGCTTCGGGCTAGTGCATTTGCATTACCTCAAGGTATGTCTTACTCTTAAGGCACGTTGGATAGGAGCGTTGATGGTTTTGTGTTATACTTCGAGGTACGCCTCAGCCTTGAGATCTAACATACCTTGTGCGGTATGAGTACGAATGCGCTCTCAAGGTATATTTCAACAAGGTATGTCAATGTATATGGCGACTGGTCGTGTTTCTAAGAACCAGAGGGTTCATACCATGACATCAGATAACTTTGCAGATGCTAAGTAGTGTGCTTGGCTGCGATTGATTTTCAAAGCGCATAATCTCTATCGTTCTGCGATCTCTGAGGAGCTGAATATTCGGAATTTGACACCTATTGCCTGAAGCACTGCAATGGTTTCTGTTTGCGCGGTATGAAGCCCTAAGATCGTAGCCAAATCGGACTGTTTGATTCCGTGAAAGTTGCGAGAAGCTTCCATAGTTGCATAGAAGCAAATGTTTTTCCTGAATATTTTATCGGTTTTTTTGTGAAGTATCAGCTCCTGAGAACTAAGAGTATGTAAGTAAGCAAACTCGTTATGTACCGATCAAGGTTAAGTTTCGGAAATAGTTAGGGGGCTAGCTTGGTGTTCTGATTTGAATATCTGCACGCGTGAGATTTACATTGAACAGAAAGTAGGTTTCTATTTTAAATTGTTGTACTCGCTAAGGATTTTTTTATGTTTTCCAATTATAGCGCTAACTGCTCCTATTGAGCCTTAGTAGTCTAGGCGTGCTTTGAAAAAACTTGGTATTGTCAATCTTGATTCCAAAAGTTCAAACATTGTCCCAAAGGACGCTCCCAAGGCGTCAAGTCTGCGGTGTCAAGTCAGCAAAATATGTTTTCACTGTCTGGGTTTGGGGAGTTTCGGGAGGATAAACTTGTACTCATAGCTTTTCTTTCCAGGATTTGAAAGATCTAATGCGCAAAGCTGGATGTGAGGTCACTTT